ATATATATATAGCTTACCGTATTGCTCTTCCTATCCCAATAATTGTAACTGTTTCTTGATTCGGTAACACCAGTGATTTATATATATAAGTAGTTTGCGAATCATACAAATGACCCCCTAAACATGTCAAGAGGTGGCAAAAAAGCCCCCCAATTGAAATCAGTAGCACTTAACCCCTTATACTCATGTGCGGTGACAAATTAGCCCTTATTTAATTGCCATATCAATATACTGTTAAAACTAACGGTTCTTTAATTAGAATGGATTCCACAGCTTACTTGGATGCTATGTGCCTATTGAAGTCTGACATGGCCTCTCATATTATTAAATTATTAATATTTTTAAATTTTCTTGAATATTTCATTAAGATTTAATTATTGTAACTTTAGTTTCGTATATTAAAATTTAATTACTTACAATGGAAATCAATTGGATTAATTAAATTTCAGGTGTCACTTTGTCCAGTAAATAAGAATAAAAAGCCCTACATATTGTGGGATAGTTTTATAACTAAATATCATTTTTTTATTCATAAAAATTATCTTAATTTAGAAATTTTGAACAATTAATTGTAAATTTAAAATTTAACCCAAAAGAAAAAAAAGTTTGAATGAAGAGAAATTGAGAACTATAAAATTACATGAACTTTTTTTTATATATAAATTAATTGTTAAAAGGTGTATTAATTACACTTAACTTAGAAAAATCATTATTAAATTTATTTTTCTTTTCTTTTTGCCACCTATTCTTTTAAATAACTTTCTTGTTTGTCTTGTAAGGATATAAGTTAAAGATATATTTACTTTTTATTATTAATTTAAATAAAAAAAATAATTTTAATTTTATTAAACCATCTAATTTAATTATTTACATGGCATTGATATTGAAAATAAAATTTATTTTCTTAATTTTTATATAAATTAATAATAAAAAAAATAAATACAATTTTAACATATACCTTAAAAAATCAAATTAAAAAATCTTTATTTAATCTACATTATTAATTTCACATTTAGAAAAATGTTAAAAAGTAAAAAAAAGGGCTACATCGAGTCCAGTTCGATAGTGGACCCTACAAAAACATGTACTTGGTTAAGTTTAGACGGAATGATGACATTTGCCGTTAGAGAAGGACTAATTTGCCACCCGTTGACAAGTTTAAGGGGTCATTTGCTACTGTTTTCAGTTTATGAGCTTTTTTTTTGCCACCTGTCAACATGTTTAGTGGGGTAATTTGCATGATTTGCCTATGTAGTTATCAAGTTAAGTGGCGAAATCTATACGTACGTCCTCTTTGGAGATTAATACAACAAGTACCTAATTCCTTAATTAGTGCAGGAGCCAGTCTGTTACTTGCATCAATACACACAACAAATCATGAAAAATAAAAAGAAACATATTACTAATAACTTGTTGATTCGAGTAGAAGGAGTTTGGATTTCTTTAAATAAAATTTTGAGTTTGAATATTATGAATAAAAAAATAAGTATTAGGAGAGCTTTTTCTTAATGAAGTCCTGATGCGATTCGATTTTGAATTATTTTAAATTCAATATGATTACCGAATACAGAAAAGTTAATAAAAAAAAAAAATACATACCCGTCTATGATCCTGTCCTTATCATATAAGAAAATTTACCCCCTCCTAGATTTTATTCTTCTATTTGTTTTAATTCCCATTTTTATTTATATTTTTTAACAAGAAGAGGGTAGTTAATGCCTAACCCACTGACAATACAAGGAACCATTATTCTAAAACAAAAATTTCGATATATAGTTGGATAAAAAATAATATAAAATTTAGTTAATCGAGTTATGATTTATTAATTTTAAACTTTTAATTTAAAGTCAAAATTTAAAATTCAAACATTTATGATATCAAGTTGTTAACTCTTGATATGAAAAAAATATATATATACATATATATATATACACATAGAATATTAAGCAGCTTAGCAGAAATTTCTAATTTTCTAAAAGTATTTTGCTATTTATACCGAGTTTTATGCATTACATTAGAACACAAATAATAGGAACTAGCAAGGAA